GAGAAGCCCCACACACTGGAGCTGGCTGCTTTCCCTGCTGGGGCTGCACAGCACAGGAGGGAAGTCCCAGGCGCCTTGCCCTGGGGGGTGAGGAAGGCAGCCGGGTCCAGCGGCTGCACTACCCAACCCAGCAGGGAGCAGAGGAGCCACACATGGATCTCCTCAATGCTGCTCCCTCCCCCACACCCTGGCAATGAGCCTCCTGCTGCTGCTTTGAGGGGCAGTCCTGCGCTGCTGCCCTCATCACAACCCCACATGCAGGAGGTGCATTGCCAGGGCAGCACGGAGTGAGCAACAATGGGGAGATCCCCACGCAGCTCCTCTGCTATTTGCTGGACCAGGTCATGCCCACCTGGCGCAGCTGGAGACGGAGGAGCCACATGGGGATCTTGCCGCTGCTCGCCTCCTGCTGCCCTGGTGATGTACCTCCTGCATGCAGGCTGGAGGCGCATCGCCAGGGCAGCAGGGGGTGAGCAGCAGCGGGATCCCTGTGCGACTCTACTGCTGTTTACGGTGCTGGGTCACACCTGCTGGGCTGGGGAAGCCCCACAGGAGAGAAGCCCGGCGACAGGGAACAGCAATCTACGCACCACCGACCAGGCACTCCTGCTGGAAACTGGTTGAGGGCTGAGGGAGCAGGGAGGGGTTAGGAAAAGACCAGCTGGTGGCACACAGACAGTGAGTGGTGCAGTATTGGCCAGAGTGGGCTCCGCACCTCCATGTGCGGCTTCCCTGAACTGAAGGGCCGATACTGCATTGCTCTGGGTCCACGCGCTGCCAGCCAGGCACTCCATGTCTTTTCCCAACACTTCCCAGCTCCCTCAGCCCCCAGCCAGTTCCCTGCAACAAGTGCCTGGCCAACAGCATGTGGATCCGGAGCTGCATGATATCGGCCCTTCAGGGAAGCTGCACATGAAGACACGGAGCCCACTCGGGCGGATACCACACCACTCACAGCCCCCAGCCAGCTTCCCCGCCTCCCCCACCAGTGCCCTACTTACCTCAGGCTCCCAGAAGGAAACTGAGCCTGATCCAAAGTGGGTGAGAGCCTCAGGCCCCACCCTTCCCTTTCTCCCTCCCCCTCTGGGCAGGATTTCCCACCCTTTCTGCAATTAGCTTTTGCAGGCTGGAACTCTGCCAGCCTGCAGAGCTCTTTGCAAAAGCAGGAAACCCCCGAGTTTCTCTACTAAAGGTAAAATCCGTGTTTTTTCTGATAAAAGCAGGAAATCTGTGGTTCTCTCTGTTTTTCTGTAGGAAATAGAAAACCCAGACCCCTGCTGATAATAAGCCTGGGGTTTTTCCAGAAACCAGCCCCTTACTTAACTGGGAAAGCTCAGGCAGCCTACTGGGCCTTACAAGCTCAGGCCACATGAAACTGTGATGCCCTCAAGGCTGTAATTTTAGATTACATGGGGCTCATGGAAGAGGCAGATGGGGAGAGCCTTTTAACTTGGACTCCTGGCCCCGCCGAGACTGTGAAGCTGATAATCCTGGAACAGTTTCAGCAGGTGGGGGCCCAGAAGTATGTCTGCCAAAATCAGATTGCTAATCTTAAGGAGGCAGTCCATTTTGCTGAAAACTTTCTGGAAGCCAAGTTAGAGTGCAGAAAATACCCAGCTGTGTCAAAAGGATAGCTCCCATATGGCACAAATTCAAAGTGGGGAGGACCTATACCCTAAGGACCAGTGGCTAGAAATCCTACACTCAGTGTGGAAATCCCACCTAGCTCTCCAACGACATAAGGGAAGGCTCCACAGCATCAGGACCACTGGTTTGGGATCCAAAGAGGATCCCCTCCAGGAAGCACTGCTAGGCTAAGGGAAAAGGGAACTCTCTGTGTGGACCGCCAGGCCGCTGGTGCAGGAACTTCTCACAGATGGACCGTAGGTATACACAGTCTGGGCTCTCTGACCTCCAAACAGAGGCCCTGGAGCAGAGAACCTACGTAATCTCCATGTAGCTAAGGGATATACAGGCCCTGGGCTTTGTAGATGTGGCCCTACATCTCAAGTGCCAGGCACCACTGATGGCCCTCCCCTCAGTTGGTAACCCTTTTGAATGGGTGTGGTAAACACAGTGGGGCTCTTGGAACCAAGAACCAATAGATGCGGCTTTATCTTGGTCCTGGTAGTTTAAGCAACTTGCTGGTTTAAGCAAAATTGATTTAAAAACAATCTTAAATTCTCTGATTAAACCTCCCAAAATCCATGTTTTTCTGTAATCAAAACAAAATCTCTCCCCTCCCCCACCCCCCTGAAAAACTGCTCTTCACCATGCTGCCTGGCTGCCACATGCATGTATACGCATGCACATGGCACCCCCTGCCTCAGATCACCCTCCTCCTACTCCCCCCAGCCCTTAGCAGTCCCTTGCAGGCTGGAATGATACCAGCCTACAAGGGAAACCCACAGTTTCCCAGGTTTTTCTCCTTTAAATGGGAAAATCCATGATTTTCTCCCTTAAAGGGAAACAGATCCCTGCTGATAAGGGAGTGGATCAGAGGGAGCGGATCAGAGGGAGCTTAGAAGCCCCCAAAACATGTAGCAAGGCAGCAAACTGAGGGAACAGCTGCAAGCTGGAAGCACACAGCGAGATGAACTACTAGCTGCACAGAGGGACCAAACTGCTGTGCTAGGGCCAGAGCTACATGGGTCTCTTCTCAGTGTCTAAGATAGGACAATAGTTTTGTTTGCTTCTTTTGCTGGTTTAAAATGTTATTTGTACGGACAGGCTGAGAAACTCCTCAGGGAGCAAAGCCCACCTGGAGAAGCCTGCAGGTGAGAAAAGCTGCTTACACCTACACTTTAGGCCAACATTTTTTCCTACCATACCTCAAGCGTAAGCACCCTGCAGCCCTCCTGGGTTTATATGGCTATCCTGAACTACTGTCAGTATTGCCACTCTAGAAGAAAAACTGCAAAATCCAGTAAGAGACTTCATTATTAATTTTCCACAAGCATTTCAGAGTATGAAGTAAAAGTAGAAAAGATTAACTAGTAAGGAAAAAAATTAGGCTAATATTTAGAAGACCTGGATTCAAATCCTAGCTGTGCCATTCTTCCCAACACACCTTGAGTAACTCGCTGCAACAGCTAAACAAACATGTAAGCTAGGGTGACCAGCTAACAACATATTAGCTGCTTGGCAGGAACTGGCTATGCACACACACTTACCCCAGGGTAAATTTAAGGTAGTCTGTCCCTCCAAAATCAGACCATCTGTAATGCATGTAGCACAGAGGGGAGATTCTGTACAATGGTAGTTACTACAGAAAAGCTAAAACCAACATGCTGTTAATTCAAACACTCACTTACCTTGCAACAATTTATTTATGCAAGTATGCCACAAGTTTCTCATGCCTGTAACATGGTAATACCCATCTCAGACACACTACTAGAATTAAATCTTTAATGCTTAAGAGATATTCAAATACTATAATAATAGAGAAACACACACAAAGTTATTCAACAGTGATGGAAAGATGTATGGTATTTCTAATGATAAGTGTTTGTATGACTTGCTTGATCTAATCGCAAGAGACATTATAGTGCAATTTAATTGCATAGTAATGAGTATAACCTGGATCAGTACTCCTGGATTTTGACATATAAACCAACACCTTGTTGTATGTAGGATATTACTCAGTTAGGTGCTACAGGCATTGTAAAGTAGCTGATTACCATACTTCTGCCTTAAAAAAAAAAACAACCTGTAAAATACTTCTCACATACTAAAAAGAAATATTAAATTTGTTTTCTTAAATAAAACTCATTAAAAAAAACAACAAACTATACTGGACCTATGGCATTAGGAGCACACTTTTGTGAAAGCAGTTTGCAAAGAAATGGCCTCCAGTTTGGGGCATGCAGGCAAGTTTAAATTAGTAACACTTATATATGCAGTATTGTCCCCCTACCTGCAGGAGCGTACTGCAAGTCAAATTTTGTGTGTTCAGTTGTCCAAACAGGACACCTATGAATAGTAAAATGAACCCAAACCTAGACAAATTGAATAATTTAAATATATTTATTTGATCTAACAAATTTACTATTCAATCCATGATTCAGAACTGATATACCAATTTAAAAAGAGTTGGACTATTAACATAAAATAAAAATAATAGGAAAAACCCCCCACAAACAAGCATCTCTTTCCAGGGTGCCCCTTTCATTACTAACTCACTGTACCAAGCATGCTACTTTAAGTAGCTATGGCGGTTTATAACTTGTTGCCAAAAAATTGTTCTAACCTTCCAAAATATACGTTCATAAAATTGCATACAGTTACATGTTACCTTTCCAGGTATGAAGCAACAAAGATTGGAATCCACGTATTTCATGAAAGTCATATTTAACAGAGAAAGCCTAGTTTCTACAGCAGCAAGAATGTCTGCATGACGAGCTAAAGAATGGTTTCTTCTTTCTGACTCTCGTCTAAGGAAGAAGCAAAGAAAGCATTATACAACACTGGAGATTTAACAGTTTTAAGCTAACAGAAATGAAACATACTTCAACAGATGGGGTTTAAATTCTCCTAAGTCACAATCCTATAGGCAGCACTGGTATGTCTTTCAGAGTTTCTGAATCTTGAATTGCATGGCCATTAACCTACTGTGACTAGAAACAATGCAGCCACTTCCATTTGTTGAGTCTTTACCAAGAGATTGCTGCAGATGGCAAGAGTAAGATGGGAACACAAATGACATGGTTGGCTAAAGTCTTAAATAAATTTTTAGGTAAACCTATTAGTCAAATTTGGATTTCCTAGCATCACTACTATGAAAGGTTTTTCTAATGCTACACTGTACACATAGACAGCTTAAAGACAAAAAAACAAAAAAACCAGCGTTTAATTTTAAACTCGGGGAACCCTGTGCCAAGCCCAGTACATACCCAGAGGCGGCATCATGTTAGCTGGAACTGACTTGCCTAACAGCTGTATAAATTGGTGGTTTCAGAGGGGCTTTTTTGATGCTTTGATCTAATAGCTGATAAAAGCACTAAAAAGTTCTGCTGAAGCACCCGATTTGTACAGATGCTGTGGAGCTGGGCTGAACTAATGCACTGGCTCTTCTGGTAAAGCCTGATTTTTTTTCCATATGTGTCAGCAGCCTTAGTTTAAAGTAGGGCTGACAAACTATTTAAAAAAACTGAATCACAATTAACTGCAAGATAAAAGCTCCCCCCCCCCTTCTTTCTGCAGCTACCCAGAGCCCATGCCCAGGCTGCCCTGTGGCTCCTCTGCACTGCCACCATTGCCCGGCTGAGTGGCTTGGAGGTGGTGATGACAGCAGCAGAGAGGTGCCATAGGGCAGCCCGGGAACGGACTCTGGGCAGCTCCAGCAAAAAGGGCCCAGCAGCAACAATGGGGAGGGGCTGCTTTTCCCTTGCACCAAACAGCAGCTTCTGCCCAGCTGCTGTCACTGCTCAGCGTCAGCAGGTAGTTCAGAGCGGACACAGGGTGAGCTGGGGTGGGCCGGGGTCAGGTCTGTGCATGCGGGTTCCAGCTGGTCCAGAACTGGTCCACCCTGCCGGGCCAAGTCCAGAGATGGAGTGGGGCAGGCTGCATTTTGCCCACCCCTGGTCAAAACAGAAGTGTGCAATTAATGCTCGTTACAAAAAAATCAATGCATGAACTTGTTTTGCATTAACCACGTATATTAACTGTGATTAACTGCCAGCCCTAGTTTAAAGCATCTTAGTGTTTAAACAACAAAGTATTCTCAAGGTATTCATGTGCTCCATTATTGGCCAACTGCTACAACACAACTGTGCTGTTGCTATTCATTTTATGTTCTGGTGACTGACCTAAGAAAAATCACTACTAATAAAAACTAGCAATAACATCTACGCTGTATGATAAAGGGTCATGTAAGTGGTCATTAGTAGTGTACCAGACACTTGAAATACAGTTTAGCTGCATTAGCACAGCACTTTGCCCAGGTTATCTGAAATGACCTTAAAAGTAGTGCAAATTTAGTGCAGCAGTTTGCCCAGGCTAACAGGTAGCCTGCTTTTGGTACCCCAGCTAGCTCAGGTATCTCTAGCTGGCACTGCAACGTAGAGCAAAGCTGTTCAGTCTCAACCTTCAGCTGAGCTGAGAAAACCAGTGACTTTTTATTTATGCAGTGCAGTACCTGTAATATGAAGTCAATTTGAATTAGGACAATTAAGTTTGACTGCTTTATTACATTTCAGAAGGAAGAGGCTGCTGATCTCATTCACTTAGGGCCAAATGATGTCCTCCAATGCTGTTGCTCCAATTCCCCAGAAGTTATTAACACATACTGTATTTATACTGTCCTTAGCTCAGGGAAATACAAAGATAAGTAAATATGCAAGTGAATCTTTGCCTTTCAGATTTTTTTTTTTTTAATTTAAAGCAGTTTTTAACATGGCCCTCATACTGCAGGTAGTTAGGAAGTCTTTTTAGTGGAGCTAGAGATAGGATTCTTTCTGAAACTAGCCATAGCTCCTAGATTTACTAGAGGAGTTGCTTTTGAATACTAGACTCTATTTCTCTGTTCAAGTATGAGGGGCATTGCCTCTGAGCACTCCAGTTCCCGATAGGCTGTGAAGTAAAAGCCAGGATATAAAGACAATGCAGATGAATACAGACTTTAGGGTTAGGCTAAATGGTTTTGCAGTAAGCTACACTTCAACAAATAAAAACAAACATTCCAAATAGTCAAAAGATTACAAACATTTTAAATTTAACTGGCTAATTCAAGTTAAAGATTTAACATTTTAGCTTTTACACAGAAAGAACTGTTCAGAAGAACACAGAATCTGAGAGAGAAAATTGCAGTTTGCACATACCTTGGAAGTTGTGCTTTAACCTGTTTCTGACACAAGTTGTGATATCTTTCCACTTTCAGAAATCCCTGATTTAACATTCGCTGGCAGACCAAGTCCATTCGCTTACAAACCTATATTAAAAAAGAAAACTTAAGATGTGTCAAATAAAACTCCTGGGTTTTTTTTCCTCATGATTAGCCAGTTTGTTTGCTCAGTAATGCAAGATTTTTTTAGTTCTTTCTACGTTTCAAAATATCACTGAATTGGATTAAGCATTCATACAATTCTTTGCCTTTTGCTGATCCTTTGTTACAACAGCACCCTTGCTTTCAAATCTATATCCCTTCCCTCCTTCATTTCAAAATGTTAGCTGCAGTTCCATGTAAAGCCTCATGTGACATCCCTATTTAGTAATCTTGTCAAGATATTCCAAAGAGCTAGGACCTTCCATTCTCTTCTTTTGGAATATTTTTTTCTATAAAAAAGCCGAGACTTTTTAAAATATTAAGGAAACAAGGGATTGTTTCCCCTCCCCACTCTTCCAAATTTCAAATTAATAGTATGCTCCAAATTTAAAAACTAAGGAGAGTTCAAAGGGACACAAAAGCTAACCTTAGAGTGAGACTGTGGGAAAAAATCACTTGCTTGAACAGGAGACATTTTCATGGACAAGATGCCCCAACCTCATGGATCCTGGACAAAGGATGTCCAAGAACATCCAGAGAGCAATTCCCAAGCATACGACTTAAAAATCATGCTGTTACTAGTTAAACCCCAGTGGCCTTTCATAAAGGTCACTAGGCCAAATCCGCCATGGTCTAAGAAACCACAATTCCTATAGACTTCAACAGAAGCTACACTCACTCAGACCCTAGAGTGGTTCTAAATTTAAATACTTTGCTCTCTCAGAAACAGCAAAAAACACTATAAGCCACAAGTTGAAATAAGAAGCATGATATATAGAGAGCAAGTTTTTGATTTACAACAGAGCCAGAATTAGAATTAAAGCAACTCAGGTATATTTTATATACTCTAAAAGAGCACCACTAAAGACTTCTCAATGCATAGGAAAGATTCTTCTCCAAAGTGTTTTCTTCCATTTATAATGGAGTTTGTAGTAAAAAATATTATGTCCTGTTACTCTGGATAGCAGTATCCTTGTTCATTTTATCACATCTGTGGCAATAGGATGTGTTAACAGCAATTGCAGAGGCATTAGAACAAAGAGTATTAATCTAGATCTTGGCACAAAATGCTCATTTACAACCCTTCCCCCCCGCAAGACATCAAGCATGGAAAAATTCTAAATATACTTTTTTTTAAAAAGTCTGTTCCTAAAATACCATTTAAAGTTAAAACAACATTCTAAGAGCTGCTACAACCTGGCTAGAAAGGACACTGAGCACACAATTCTAGGATTAACTTAACTAAATTTCCCATTACATTTCACCTTTAAGACTAGAAAATAATCAGCCTTGACTTTGAATTCTCTGGTTTGTTGGTTTCTAAGCTGCAATTGGTATTTCCTATGAATATGAACTAGCAAGTTAGCTTTAAGTACTGCTTGTATAAATTCATACTATTCACCTAAACTCTTATGCCCTATTCTATTTATCTTGGAACATTATACACCATATACCAGGCTGCATTCATCTCCTGGGACACTAAGACTCAGGATTTTCAAATCAAAGTTTAAAGTAGTTTCTAGTCTCCTATTAAAATATTTAACAGTTAATATGTATAGCCTTTGTGATATCCCACCCATCTACAGGCTTGAGAAAAAGGTTCTCTTCCAGACTATCTGAAGGTTGCCAATTAAAATGGTGCTCAACCTTTCAACTCTGCTGCCATGTTTCAGGCCTCCTCTCATTCCAGCCTAACATCCAGATCAAGCCTAGCACCACCCCAGCCCCATGTGCCTGAGTTAGCATGCAAAGCCACACCATCTGGTCTGCTGGGGTCCCCATAGATCCAAAAATTTAGCAGAATTGGAGGGTGGCAATTAATGCTGCTGCCACTCCCCTGCTGCCAAATTTGCAGGGCTCCCTCTGGGTCTGAAGGCTGGATGACATGGCTGCAGGCTGGATCCAGCCCATGGGCCATGGGGTTGAGCATCTCTGAATTAAAAGAATGTATTGGTTAACTTATAAGACAATGACATGTAGACTTAAAGAGCTACCATTTGTTCGCCATCTGTTAACAGAATAGAAAAGAGTAAGGAGCAACCACTATCAATTTGTCTATTAAAACTTAATCATGAATACGCACACATTTTAACTCTTTTTAATACAGCTGCAGACAGTATAATGGAGAACTGAATAAGAGTTAGAACAAGGTACAACCTTCCCAGGTTGTCCATACATTAGTGCTTGCTGACAACTGAAGAAGATGCAAGGAACAGAAGTATTTCTGGTAGGTAACATGGAAAGCCATCAACATACTAATCGAGTGGAAGGAAAACTGCACTATATCACTGGAGCCAGCTAAATAATCAGTTTCCGTTTCTTTACAATTTTCAGTTGGACCAAAACAAACATCACCCTTTAATTTTCAAGAGAATAAATGTTTAATTAACCATATTTGTTCAAAGTTCTCTCCAAAATCTAAGAGAGGAAGGGAGTCATCTATAGACTAATACAATTATTAAAAGATTCAATAGCTGAAAAAATAATTGTTTTAAGAGATGATGCAAGCTTGTGTTACTATAAATGGACAAAAAAGCCTAGCACCAACCAGATTTGGGATAAACTCAATAATTGCAGGATGACAAAATAGAAAATCTGAAACAGTTGTAAACAGAATCACTCAACCAATACTCATAATCAAGTTCATACTGACATCTAGTGGCAAACACTGTCAGCAGTGTATTGAGATAACACTGAGGAGGTAGGCTTTAAAGGGCAATCAATCCAAGCTGCACTAAGGATAGCTTTGTTTAAAATAGCATGTTTACCAACATTACAGGGAGAGGGGGCACGGGGTAGACACTTATTCCAGTACCTCTATGCAGAGAAAAATACAGGAACTTGAAAAACCAAAATAAATAAGAGCTCAACTATCACAAGGCTGAATTCTAAATGCTAATGGGATCATGAGCAACTAAGAAAAAATGTTTGAGTCCACCTACTAGTTGATAGTGTTCATCCTCCTTCACTTGATTAACAAAACAATTACTCTATATCACATCTCAAAACCTTCTACTTGGTATTTTAAGACAGAAGCAGTGACTGGGCAGATAAGAATGTTTCACACTAACCCAATAAAGTAAAGAAATGTCATATCTAGCAGGAGTTATTAAAGTTCAGGTGGAAGCTTCCATTTTACATCCTAGGGCCCTATCTAGGAAGGATCTACAATCTCAAACAGCTTTAACACATTTTGGTGTTTTGCTGCATCTACAAAAGCCAGCAGTAGCAAGCAAAATCATGTTTACCAGGCTTGAAATGGTCTGGACCACTGGTTCTCAAGAGTTTTCTGAGCACAGGAGACCTGAACAAAAACATGACAATTCCCTTCAGTTCAAAGAAGAAAAATTTGCTATGATCACATTCACCAAGACTCACAAGAGACTTTTTCTTCTTCTATTTAAGAACAGGGAAAAATCCAAGCCTACCTCAATGTGCTATGAACAAATGGTGCTTACAAAAGTTCTTTCAGACCTATGTGAAAGTCTAAAGAAAACTGAAAAATTATATTATTCCTTCTACTTCTAAGGTCACCACATGAAGCAAAGGAAGACTTTATACAATTTATATCTTCACCTTATTTGCAGAACAGATGAACTCGTGACACAATCAGACAAAACTAGCAGCTTTTCCTTTGTAGATCATATCTTTCAATATTCACTAGAAGAATCTGCCTGGGAGCAATGTCATATGGGACATAAAGCATGCAAAATATTTAGATACGATGCAGAGCCCAAGCCCAAAATAACTGATCACTTTGGCACCACAGCCTGGAGTATGATTTTACTGTATTAGGCTTCCAGTAAGCTTGAGCCATTTTATTAAATATCATCAAGGTCTTGTTTTAAATAGCACAGAAGTAAAACTAACCACCATAGATTTACTAAAATTCTTTGTTCTGAAAAAGTGAAGGGTCTAGTGTCCACATCATTCCATTTGTGCATGTTTGGATACACACACAGAGGGAGTGTGTTGCACAATTTATAAAATATGGTACGTTTGTGAAGAGGGCCAAAATTCAAGACAACCTTGTATTCAGGAAGAGTAAGTAACATGGACATCAGGCCTGGATTACTTGAACCTAAATCACACTTGCTATAGCAGTTACTTTAACTGGACCTTATTTCCACACACAGCCATCTGAGTAATACATATATATTGCCATTCTTTTAAAACAGCATGTGTTATTCATCTTCCTATACCATATACTTGCATATAAATGTTTGCAAGTGGCAAGGGGGTGTAGGAAGTTGGATAACAAATGCCATTTTAAAAGAATGGCATAAAAAAAAATAGGGCTGGGCGAAGCTTCGGTTCCTGATTTGATTCGGCAGAGATTCAGCTTGATTCAGTGGCTGGATCTCTGAATCCGAATCAAATAAGAGGACCCTTTAATCTCTCCAAATCACACTGGAACCTTCCAAATCAATTTAGAGAGATTCAGAAAGATTTGTCAATTCAGACATAGACACAGTTTTAAATGTTTTTTCTACATACCTCTAGGTACCAGGCGGCTTGTGAATGCTGTGATGCTGGGGTGCATAGACTGTCCCACAGAAGCACGGGGGGCTCCCTAGTGCATTCAGCAGCAGACCCAGAAGTGGACCAGAAGCACTTCTGGTCCAATTCTGGGTTCAAGCGGGGGCACGCGGGGGGCTCCCCTGTGCCCTGCCGGCTCAGCGACTGGTGCCTCCTGGGTCTGGGGGGGGGCACCTGGGGTCCCCCCACACTCAATTGCCGAGCTGAGGCGAAATGGGGAGCCCCTTACATTCACATAACAGGAAACTCCCCCATTAAATACACCGGCTATCATTAAAGCAGCATGTACTCAGTCTTGGAAACCGACTATGAAGTTGAGGGAATGTAGCCCATGCTGAGCGTGCCCAGAATACACATGCCCCTTATTGGGCAAATGCATTGATGGAAGCCTTCCACAAAGCTAAGTT